TATATATATATATACATATATATATATATGGGTACACAGACAAGCTATCTATCTATCTGTCTATCAATAAACCAACCTCTCTCTATCCTATGTATCATCGAAAAAAACACCTAAATCCTACCCTCGACACTCCTGCTGTTGCCTTGCGAAAAGTGCTGTAATTGTCGATGAAAACTCGTCCTGACAGCCACAAAAACGTGGCGTCAAATACGACACCTGCGCCTAGTAGTAGTAGTAGTAGTAGTAGTAGTAGTAGTAGTAATAGTAGTAGTAGCGGTAGTGGTAGTGGTAGTGGCAATGGTAGTAGTAGTAGTAGTAGTAGTAGTAGACCCGCATGATGTCAAGGGCCAGCTGAGGGACGGTGAGAACCACGTTTGCCGCCAGGAGCTGGGTGCCAACACCCTTTTTCGTCGTTCCAGCGAACACATGCTTCAGGGCCTGCACAGATGAGGATGTGTGAGAACCGATACAAATACATAATACATCATACGTACTGTTTGCATTCTTGCGAGAGAGTTGTGCCTTTTGCCCTACGGGCTGGAATTCCAAGGACTTATCGTGTTTTCGTTGATTGCTGACCTTCCGTAGGATGGAATAGAGACCTCGTAGAATTTGAAAACATATACGAAACATTTCGGGGCTTCATCGTACATCGCGAGCTTCCCGACCATTGCCTGGACCTTGGGGAGAACTTTCAGCACGTCCACAAACACCTATATAGATGCACCTAAACTTGTTTGTATCTCCGCCTAGTGTGAGCAACTCTCGGAGTTCCATACAGTAGGCGACCAAGTCCCTAAACCCAAACTCAAAACCCAACATCCTAAGCTCTAAACTTTAAACCCCAAGCCCGAAACCCCACAGCAGATCTGACATGTCTATCCTGCACTTGTTGAAAACTAAGTGACTCTGGGGTAACTTACTCCTTCGAGCTTTCAAGCCTAAACTCATCTTCTGCCAAAGTAAGTGAAGACTTCCGATGATGCCTCCTTTACATGTCTGATGTGGGTGTCCAACATGACGTATGCAACAACTGGCATGTGTTGTGATATCTTCATCTCAAAACTTAGAAGAATTACAGGCGTCAGGGCTGTTCAACATCTGCAGGCCCCAAACCTCAAGCCTTCAACTTCTCTGGGTAGCCTGAACCTTCGAACGCAGCCCAGGGGCAACTAACGAGAGTCAACCCGACCCAAGCTCGATGTCCTTTATCCTAAGCCAGTCCCATATTTCCGACAACTGAGAAGCTTGCCCCCAAAGTCCTGTAGTGGCCCAAACCCCAAACCGGTAGACAGCTTCAAGCTGGCATCAGCCCGCCAGTCCTTGGGCAAGTTGATGCCACCTTCAGGTGGAGGAACGAAGGGCCCAGCCAGTCGCATCCACCTGGCTGGCCCGGGACACAGGGGCGTACGGGCTTTGTGGCGCCAGTGATGAAGCGGGAGCCATCAATGCTGGCATACGGCCATGGCGGCGATATTTCATTTAATTGCACATGCAGAGTGGCTATATAACCGAAGGGATGCCAAGGTAAGGGCCACTTTGGGGGCTGAAACAGTTGTGGTTGGAGCCTTTCCGGGTGCCGTACCCGGAACTTCAGCGGTATGATGAAACCCAACGAAGCTCTCGCATAGCACACAACATAGAAATCCTTGTTTTGAGCACAAGCCTCACCGCCCCCCACGCCCTTAAAAACCCTGCTAGCCTACACCTCCTGAAAACCCTCAATCCCCCGACGCCCTAAACCCTAAACCCTAAAGCCTGCAAACCCTAATACCTTAAACAGACGGCCTTCTCTCACAAGGCCAAGCCACACCGGTTGGCCACGCGTCACCTCGAGAGCTCCCACTGGGTCGAAAAGATCCTCTGCAAGGGCTTCCCAAGGCTTCGAGTAGGGTCAAGTAGGGCTCCAGGGTTTCTAGGTTTTTAGGTTTAGGGCTTCTGAGATTTTTAGGCTTTAGGGTTTAGGGTTCTGGGCTGTTAAGGCTTTAGCGCTTCAGAGTTTTAGGGGGTTCCTTGGGTCCCTACGGCTCTTTCAGGCTTCTGGCTGCGAAGCGCCCCTGGAGAGGTTCGGATCTTGGGGGCACCTGTCCATGGTTTAGGGTTTAGGGTAGCTTCCAACTTCATCCAAGAGGAACAACAAAGGCTCTCTGCTAAAAGGGGGCTTGCAAGGTGGAAGAGCATCTATGGAGACCTGCATCAAATGCATCAACGCTCAAGCATCGGCTCCCTGACAAGTTCAACCCTGATCTATGTAAGTGAGGTGCTTGCTCATGGAAGCTTACTCGAAAAAACCCCTATACTCGCTTTTGACGTCCATGACCGGACAGCAGGTTTGAGATTTCCACGGCGCAAGCCGCAAAATCTTCTCCTGGCCTCATTCTCCACATCGCCCAGGATAATGGGGCCTCGTGCACATCGGACGCTGACGCAACAAGGAGCAGTTAAAGGGATGGCTTCTCCCTATCTCTCAGTGGGTCCTATCCTGGCTTGGGCGTGCTTGCCTGCACCACTGAAGCCTCACAGGGCCCAGGCCTGAAGATACTCTCCGACTCTCAGGATGTGGGTAGTTCTCTACATTAGGGTCCCTTTTAGGGTCCTTTTTGTAAGGGTGCCGTACTATATATTGGGGACCTAAATAGGGACCCTAATTTAGAAACTACCCACGTACCTTCTCCCTCATCCAAGCCCGGTGCAGTGCAGGTCTCGCGCACAGCGGGCAGCAGCCGCAAACTCGCTACCACTGTGTTTCACAGTGCCGACGGACCTCGGCAAATGCAGAGGCTCGGGGCTTTAGGATGTTGAGAGGTTTTAAGGCGTTTAGGGCTTAGAACTGTAAGAGATTGTCCAAAAAATCAAGTTCAAGCGATGTCGATGCAGAGAGAGAGAGAGACAATTTCTCTTCTTCTCCCTCTGAGACTGCGGCATGTAAAGAGCTCTCTGCGCCAGCGGGAAAAGGCTTGTTGACAGTGATGCCAACATCTCGATTGCTGGCAAGAGCTGCAAGCTCTCGCTTCGGTAGCCTCTGAAGCATTGGGGATACTCTTGTTTGGGATGCTGGGTTCGTGGTACCAGAAGCGGCTTTACTGCCAACGAATGGCGACAGGACTCCTGGATCTTCACTATTTGCTCTTTGTTCTAGACCTGGCAGCGCCTGCAATCCCTGTCAAGTTCACCTTACTGTTCGAAACCCTGCCGCATGCCCAGCATGCCTAACTCGTCTCTTCAGTTATTCCTATGCAGTAGGTCTTAGGTCATTCATTTGCTTTCTGGTTTGGTACTGCCAACTGTCAGCTATCAATCAGGTATACCTATGAGATACTATGACATGCTAGATAGAATATACGAAATGTAACGCTATGTGCTACTACATAATACTATCTAATACAATCTTGCAGATGCACTACTGTAATAACTATACTGCTTTGTTCTCAACCTTCCAAAGATTCTGAGTCAAGCGGCGGTGTTTCTTGAAGGCTTTCTCGAGCCACTCACTTTCGCCTTAGGGCCCGCACGGATAAGCACTCAGCCTACTTCAAACAAATCCAAGAGTCTCCCGAAAACTGGAGATACGACGGAAGGCACTTATCGCTATTGGAGCACTGTCGGCGAGCTCCCACTCAGACTCAAACATCAGGAGACCTGAGGCTGTTGACTCGAATTCATGTCGACGCTCTAAACCGGTCCATTTCCTATGATCAATTTCAAATTTCGGATGTCCCAGATGCTGAAGCTCGAGAGCGCTCGACGCATGTTCACAACATCCACCTCCGGTAATGGGGCGGATGCTATTATTCATGCTCTTGCATTGGCTTCCATGTGGAAGGAAACATGACTTGCTTTCGGCTTTGCTGCAGTAGCCGCACTCTCATCTCCCCCGACACCCAGGAATGAGGAACCAAGAACTAAATCATGTCGTACCGAAAGAAGCGTTCATAGCAGGCAGCAGCACGTCTCTCAACAGCTTCCAAAGCCTTCTTCAAGATGCCCCCTCGCTCATCGAAGCCCCAGCCCGAAACCCTCAACCTATAAGCGTACAAGCACCTTTGCCTTTGCCATGCTTGTTATCTTGTGGATTGCTTGCCGTTTGTGGGAATTACACAATATTTCTCTTTTGTGGATGCTACGCAATCGAAATCATCCGGGCAGTTGCTAAATGCCAAGGATGCCTTGTCGCTAGGACCACGTACGATGAGCTGGCCCTCCTCTGCCGAGGACGCGGAGGGCCTGGCTCAGAGAGACTTATGTAGGGGCCTCAATATACAGAATAGGGTTCTGGGGTTATATCATACTAGAAGTATGAATAATACTTACTAGTAAGAGCTCCATTTAAAATGGCATTACTAGCTAGACAGTTTAGGCCTTGGGGTAACAATCCCAAGGCTCATGCAACAGAGTGAAACCTCGTAAGGTCGATGCATGCTCGCAAAGTCTGCAGGGTTCACGAAGTGGGCTGGCTGCAGATTCCGACGTTCAGCAAAATCCTCTGGATTTTTGGGCTGTTGGTTCTAGAGGAGGCCTAACACTCCCAAAGAAGCGTTCATGGTAAGATATACAGATGGACCTCGTCTGAGAATTGAGTCGAGATGCTCGGAATGGCCCACGACCACTGGGAAGCCCTGGGGCGTGTTCTCCAGGTTGATCTGCAGAGAGCCGCTCCTCTGTCTACACCACATCTGTTCTCGACGGAGCTTGGGGGTTCGTCTCTGCTGCATGATTTAACTACGTGCGGTTCGCAGGACCGCAGACAACTAAGAGTTGCCGCGAGCATGTATGCGACGGCTAATACAGGAAGCGGTCTCACCTGCTGATTGCTGCCACGATTCGTACTAAGCTTTGTCAGTGTGAGACTGAGCGGGCTACGGGGACAACGAGGAGCATGGTTGCACATACAGCTGCCTTCGAAATGATAAATGATTCTGGGAGGCAGGAATTCGAACAACTATTACGACTCCTCCTCCTGCTCCTACTGCTGGTAATGGTAGTTCTGCTACCAATACTACTACAGCCCCGCCCCACCACGACCACAATGCCTGCCGCAACGACTGCGGCCACTGCTTCGAATCTGTTTGTCATGGTCATGTGGTGCGACGACACATAAGTCCTGACATGCCGCTATCGCTGAAATCACTCGGTTGTTGCGATTACTCTATGTTTACTCGAGCACTGATGGCTCTCCTCGGTCCTGCTGCATACCGCGCAATAAAGACACAAACCTTTCGCATGTTGTCTCTTCTGATGTTACCACCAGTACTAGCACCATGACTACTAGCAGTCTTCTGCTGTTGTCACTATGGTTCATTGCTGTCGTTGTTGTTCATGATTGACTAACTGATTAGCTATTGCAGTGATTCGCACTACCAGCGGACCCAGCATCATGACTCGCGATGTAGCCAGCCTTCCTCTGGTCATTGTCGAATTGCATTTGTCCGCCGCGCGAGGCTGGCATCCATGGTACTCCCACATCGTGTAGAAGGCATCAACCGCTTTTCAGAAATTTCACCAGCATCGCACTGCCTCTTTCAAACATGTCCGCACAAGTAGCGAATGTCAGATGTTGCGGATATTATGACAGCCAGCTTGAAGAGCACTTGCAGTAGTCTAGGCCGTCGTTGTGCTCCTCCTCTGCCTTTGCCTCATGCTAGAATACGTCGCCATCGTGCGACGGCTGCTGCAGAAAAGGAAAAGTGTACCAACAGCATATCAACGGAATTACTGTAAACACTATTGTTGTTGCACGGATTGTAGTTACAGCAATCATGACTTTGACGACAACGGCTTACACAAACATGTCGCTGCTGCTTCTTCTCGAAAGCACATCCACGACGTCCGTTCTCCCAGATACTTCCCGCTGCTTGCAGGTGATGCGTTGTGCACCACGAGGGCCATCAACCCTGGACCCCGATTTACCTTAAGGAGATCTTAATCCTCACCCTTGAATCTTAGGTCCCACATAAACCCTAAAACCACTAAAAATTCCTAAACTCTTTCTTCACCTTCAAGCCCAAGTCCATCGTCTTAAGCCGGGTCGCTCGGTGGCCGTGGCCCCAGCTGGGTACAAGCTGCTAATCCGCTCACGGCTCAGCTCCACCTAAGAGCTCTCTGGGCTGTTCGGGGTTCAGGTAAGGGCTCGCAGACCTCTTTGCCAATAATCGGGCCTCGGTACTGTCGATCGGGAAGAGGGCCTGGTATTTGGATTTGAGGGCTGGGACTCTGCGATAGAAACGAAGTTGCAAGTTCGGGCATGGCCCTAGTTGCCGAGACCGAAACCCCAAAACCCTCGTAGCCAGGACAACTACTACAACTTGAGCGACCCATGTTGTCATTCTATGCAGTACAACTTGAATAGCCGGAAGCCTGCACCTTCTCTAGAACCTGAGGAGAACCTGTCTGATGTCTGCAGCGCCGCATGGCCGCCAAGGCGCAACCACACGGTCCGGTTCCACACGAGAAATCAGTGCCTGCATGCAGGTCAGAGTGTCGCATCCCGCACCCAACCCAACTTAGGTCTACAGGTGGGAGATTCCATCTGCTGCGCGGGGATCTGAAGTTGCAGCAGTTGCTGAGTGACATTATGAGCAGCAAGAGGCAGCACTCTTGCTTGGGGCCGCATTTGTCTTGAAACCGAAACGGCACTTGCTGTGGTGACTTCGCGCATCGAAGTAGTTACTTCACTTGCGAGGTTTCCCGGGCAGGTGTGAAAGTTCACCAATCCCAGTGCGAAAGAAACGGAATCCTGTAATTACATCGAGCCAGGCTCCACCATAGCCCACCTCCACATCGGCGGCGCTCTTAGCAGAGATGTGTGCAGTTCCGATGATGTAGACATCCGCACCATGGAGCTTGCCTTCGATTGGCGAAATCGGACTTCGAGCCATCTATATATATATATATATTTATTTATTTATTTATATTTATTTATTTATATAGATAGATGTATCTACCTATCTGTATATCAGACTATGTATATATATATATACACATACATAAACAAGTAGATAGATAGACAGGTAGATAGGTAGATAGATAGATAGATAGATAGCATGGAAGTTTCATAGTGATACCAACCTGTTACGTGAGGACCTATCAATAACAAGGAAACAATAATAAAAAGCGACGACGGGTAGTTATCAAGAAGAAGGCCCTGCAGACAGCTATTAATCAAATGTGTGTGTACATATATATATGTATATATGTATATATCTATATGTATATGTGGTACCCCCCCCATGTGTCCACATTTCTGTTTCACATTCAGGGAAAGATAGGGAAAGTGTCTGACTTTCGGATGCCTGGCCTGGTGACAAACCAGCTGTACAGTAACCCTTCCTTCCTATGTGGCTTGCTCACTTCGAATGTGACTAATCGAAAAAGCAAAGCAGTGTTCCCACGGAAGTAGCACTGCTTTGCCAACAATCACCATTCCTGCAAAATCCAAAAATCCAATATTTTCGTGGACTTGCCAGAACCATTTTGGATGTTTGATACTTTGGATTTTTGGATTCTCATGGACACCAAACATTCAAAATTCCAAAAATAAAAATTCCAAATTGGTCTCAGCCAAATATTGGATTTTGGGATTTTGCAGGACAAATGCTGTCTGTGGCTTTGAATGCGTCCTGCGTGCTTGCGTACAGGGGGGGTTGCGTGAGGCTTTCCGATCTGGTGCAAATCACGAAGGGGATCAATCTTATGTGCTTTGGCTCCAAAGATGTTGTTCTCAAAAAGGTTTTAACTACCCATAGGCTCCATGGTAGTTCGTTTTCTGTGGTTCAAATTTAGGATCCTTAAGTTAAGGTAATCCCAAAGCGGAACCACAATGGAGCCCATGAATAGAGACTCCAGGGGTATTTTTTTCAAGAGCTGGTGCTTCAAGACGATGCAGGATAATGATGGTTTGTGTACATTCGTAACCTTTTCATCGCTCACGCAGCTAGTGGTCATTTGCTAGTATCCCTCAAGTAAAACAATGTTTATAAAATGCATGTGTTTTGGCTTCTACTGGATTTGATAATACTCGTAGTATCGAACTCATATTTGGGAATTCTCCTAACCAACATATCATATTCAATAACTCATGAACACCCAATATGCGACTAATATGTTTCTGTCATAGCATTGCCTGGTCGATTTTGGCATGCAATCGCATGTGCTTTTCTGCTATTGGGTGTAGGTCTAACACTGGAAGTATTCTACACCAATGCACAAACCATTGCCAACAAATTGAAAAATCATAAGCCAGTGCACACTCAAGTAGCTTAGCATCTAACGAAAAATAGATTGTTTGTTTAATGCAGTAATAAAACAAGACGTAGTGGTTCAGAGTTCAGAAAGTATCGGTTCATCCTTTAGAAAATAAAAAACAATGATTCGTTGAAAAGGAGAAAGTAACAACTGCGAAAATGCGCCGAACTCGTTTCATGACACGCACTGTACACAACGTCAACAATACGTGTATGAGCGTGCTGCAATAATATTGACCTATCAAGAAGGCCAACATGAGTTACATTATTCTAAGCAATGACGAAACACAGAGTAAGTATCAGCTACAAATTTTTTGGGAACCGTCAATGTCTTCAGCCGCGTATACGAGCTATTAGTCAAGTGATACGTAAACATGAAGCATTAAAGACATGCTACACACGAAATAGCTGTCTCACATATTTGTTAAACTTGGCATTAGACATAGTCACATATCCGTCATTGGACATCAACTGGTCATCCAACACAGGTTTCCATACAGATTGGAGAAATACAGGCCTGTGCTACGGATTCTTCGATTCGATGGTGTTTGAATAGGGGCAAACAAACATCCGTTCGACATTAGTGTAGAGTTAACTGCCGAAGCCGAAGTTTGCTTGCTTCAATACCCAAACACAATCACTGCCCTTGTTAGCGAATCTGTGGCCTTGTGGTGTTGCTGCTTTAGTTCCAACATGAAAAAGCTTATTCGATTCGCTTGTGACAAAGATGATAATGCCAGTGACGATGACGGCTACTATCGCTACTGGTGTTGTTCATACTGCTGTCACTGTAGCTATTATTGGGGCTTTGCGTCTGTCTTGTACGAGGCTGATGCAAACGACATGCTGGGAACTCATGTCGCACACGCATGACTCCTGTGTTCACTCGTGCAGAAAGCTATGTAATCCAGCCGTTATTACTCATAAATGACGATGAATCTGGCATCCATTGCTTAACTTAACGTGTAAGTTGCATGTTTGTGTGTTTCTATTAAACCCAACGTCTGGTTTTTCGATAGCTGGTCATACTATTCCATGAGATGTAGCATCCTGGTAGATTCAAACACATGTTCTTCTGCAAAGGGCAGCTGTCCCTCAAAGCATATTATTGCGCATCGGAAGCTGAACCTGTCGGATCCACAAATGGGAAAATTAGGGTACCTTATTTCGGGGTCCTTATCATAAGGATCCTACTATTCAGTTTCTATTCAGGGTACTATATTAGGGTCCCCTATGTTCGGAACCCCCCAAATAATTGCGTGCAAGTTGCTGTGGCAGACACAGGGCGGCAGCTCGCCATCGGGGATTGCAGCAAGACTCTGTGTGAACCTGCCGAGCTGAACAGCTTCAGCAAATGGAGTCGCTTGCAAGGTCCTGTTGTGAAGCCTGCGGTGCAGGAATGATCTAACCCTAACCCTCCAGGTGCCTACTAT